TTCACTTAAATAAGCGTAAGTGGATTGAAAAGCAATGTTTGTAGATTTATAATAACAAGACACCCTTTTTTTATAAGCTGAAACATATTTACTTTTTCTGTTCAGGGCTGGTTGAGCTTTGGTAGAGCCCATGATCTAAATCCACTCCACTGATAAAAACAATTCAATCTTTCCCATCTTAAAAGCTTTCCTGATAAACCAAAAGTCAGCACACAGGCGTATCTTGATTGTTTGACTGCTCTCAGCACACACAGCTCTCGCCAGCTGAAAAGAGGCAGTCACGCAAGGGGCTCAGTTAAAAACAGAACCATGTGTGAGGTTGTAGTTAGTGAGCATTAATACTAAAAAAAACCTCTTTCTTCTGTCCCTTCTCTTTAAAATTACACAACCATTAAATTACGTTCTTCTTTTGCAGTAAAAAGTCTGGCAAGCACAGAAAATGATGTCATAGAATTCTGCTATTGGTAACACAGCTTTCTTGGCATTAGAAATTTACGACTGTTTACGTGCAAAATTCTCATTTGTGTGTGTGTGTAAGTGCATGCATGTGTGCTTGTTGACCTTACTCTAATAATTAAATGTAGTTTGGTTTGAAGTTAAAGCCCCAAATTAGTATTAAGCTAAAACATATGCATGGGCGGAAGTTTTTCCTGTTTGTGTGTGATTAGTTTGTTCTGAGAAGTTCTAATTTCCCCTCCATTCTAATAAATGGCATACAAACATTACTCTTTTTTTTTCATTTATTTTATATTAGTCTTTTTTCCTTTATCCTTGGTTTTGTAGGTGTCTCATCTGTCAGCTCAGTTATGTTCAACACAGTTCAGCACATTAGATCATCTGTTTATGTTCAAAAGACATTTCTGTAATTTACACGTCTATATAACTTTCATATGTTTCACAAAACATTTACTTTTTTAAGTTGTTTCAACCTGTCTTTGTATTTGTATGATGAGTTTGTAGCAATGATTTGAGAACTTATCTAAAACGATTCCCTTTCTGGAAGAATGAAATAAAGTAATTAGAGGAGTAACATGAGTGAAGGCATGTTGTTGATATGTCTTTGACATGTTACTTGAAGTTGTCCACAAGTATTGGGTTTGGTGTWTAGTTTCGTGGATTGGCCCAACAATGAGCRCCCACCCAACTGTAGCACACTSGTGTTTCAGTGGACAGGTGGTATCGCAGCGTTAGTCTTTGAGAGCTTCATCAATTTTTGCCGACTGTAATGTTAGCCCTAATCCAGGCTGATGTCTTCTCTGCGCCCAGTTGCTGTCTGTTGCTCAGTGTCATTAACACAAATTAGGTCAAGTATTAAAGAGGACATATCATGCAAAAGCCACCTTTTAGCCATTTCATACAATTTGTTGTGTACTTYGAGTCTGTAGAAGTGCAGAAAGTTTTAATTTAGTCTATCTGTGTMGTAGGGTTGGGCGATATTGGCAAAAAAATTAATCATGATTACCGTATTTGCTCAAGTAAAATTTTTACATATTTTTTCAATACGTAAAATTAAATCAATAAAATCATCCATAAAGTTGGGAGGTAGTATTATACTCGGATAAATATTTTTACTTTATTTTATCTGAAATATTGGCTTCATTCACAAAATGCAAAATGCATGAGTCCAGAAATGAGACCGCGTCGTAAAAAGTAGTTKAAACGAGCTTACCCCTGACACTCCTCCGTCCTTCAGAACGAGATAGTAACAGATCCAGGCAGGCGACATGATGTGAAAAAAAGTGGGGGGGGAGTATTCCTGCACCTTAGTACTGATAGGGAACTAATGACATTAGCGTGCGACTGGGCCACTCCTCGAACAACAACAAACATGTTCGTCTGTAATGGCTGCCGTCTACCGGTGTTCTGAAAAGGTTTGTATCCTTGAAAAAACGTTTTCCCACCAGAGAGGGCGCTCGCGAGTAGGAAGTAATCTGCTTTTCCCCCACAAGATGGTCTCAAATCTCATGTGAAGTCTCTGGCTTTTGTGTTGCCACATCCTGGTGGACTATGTGTAAAATGCCAGAATTCATATGATGCTGCTACAGCTGATATATATTTGTTGTCAAAATACCTTTCAGTACATATGTTGTTAAAATAAAATGAACAGTCCAATGATCATTTTACTGATATGTATAAAGACTGCAAAGGCTRAAAAATCTTGCAGTCTGAATGAAATTGGAGGTAGTTTGAGGATTTAATATTTTATGCTTTTTAAGCTTGGGGGGTGGGGGGGTGGCGTCATATTATACATATGATCGTATTATACATGAATAAATACGGTAAGTGTTTTAAGTAGATTGTCATCATGGATTCATGATTTCATTTTCCCCTCAATTACAATTATTRATCACCTGCCACTAATGGCAATCATTCTGATTAGCTAGATGGTTTGTGTTCTGTTCATGCATGCTTATTTGTCCTGAATGTGACCACAAATGAAATGGTTTGTCACCACTGGGGTGTATTGAAGTGAGTTGACATTTTGGGGCCACATTCAACACTTTGACCTCAAACTTCACTCTGTTTGCAATAAACATGGACRTGATTGCCTTTGCTTTTTTTGTAGCATTCAAAATGTGTTGCTTTTTACWGAGAAGTGCTGTCATTTCAGTTGAATGTGTGCACGTGTGTATAATACAGCATTGCGCCTGAATAGATTAAAATAAAAATAAATACATGCGTGCCTAATGACCAATAATCATGTTCAAGTTATGTTTAGGCTGAGATTTAAACACCAACCAATGCTGCAGCTTTCTCATAATGACTTAATAAAAATATYGTCGCACCAAATGGACTTTCCCCCCATGTTTTATCTAATGCGGGTCACCAGATGCTACTAGCCTCACATACAGTATATGACTCTGTTCAGTAGTCAATCACATAATTGTGTACGCTGTGGCTGTGCATCTGCTCAGCTGTGTTCTGCATCTCTCTGGGTTCAAACACTTGGCTGCTGATCCAAGCGTTTGAACAGAAAGACTGGATTCTTCCCAAGTCCTTTCCAGTGGGTTCTGTAATAGTTGCATGCAGACTTAATTAAGGTGCCAGAGTAAGTTATAATTAAAGTGAGAGTTTCCCAAGGCCAAGCCAGCAACCTTCTGTTTATAAAGCAATGCARTGCATTGAAAATGATGCCCCAGAAAGCTTATTTTGTGTTGACACATTTTTAAAAGTGTATACTGCTTTTCTTTGTCTTTTTTGTATTAAACTGAGTCTTCTCCCGCAGATGATTCTGCTGCAGATCTTTGGTAAAATACAGACAGCAGCAGTTTTTGCAGCTGCTGGTGATTCAATATATGGACAATGTTTGAACAATTTCTCAAATATACTGTTTTGGCTGTGTCTGTATCTTGAGCTGTACTGGCAAGAAGCAACCATACATTAAACCATACAGGCTAAAGCTATGGATAACAATGAAATTGGTAAAACAGATACAGCAAAATGTGAAAATGGCATTTTTTTAAACAGATGCAGTGACGGTGAAGTGATGCTCTAACAGAAAATTTAAAAGATGAAAATGGGATAAAATAATTTTCTAATAATAATAATAATACAAGTACAAATGTTGAGTAATGAATAGGTAAGATGGGGTTTTACCAGTTTAGGGTTTTCAGAATTAAAATATTTTATTGATCCCCAAGGGAAATTACACTTAAACAATAAAATTAAACATAAACAATATGGTTAGGTGAAAACATCCCATAACATGTTAAAAGATGAAACAAGAARAGATGGTGTTTTATAGAAGAGAAACCAGAGTGTTTGTCTGTGGGAGTGAAAAGAAGGCCACTTCACCATGGAATAAAGAGTTCAGTGCTGAAGGGAACTCTGGTGACAAATCGAATGGCAGCATGATAAACGGTGTTTAGTTATGGAGGAGGGTTTTGGCAGCACTTCTGTAAATGACATTGCTGTAGTTGAAGATTGAAARCACTGTCCTTATTACTAAAAGACGTTCAGCAGAATGAGTTAGTGAAGATTTGTTTCAAAAGGAAAATCCTATTCAAGACTTAACCTTGGAGAACAGAGTGTTGATATGASTTTCAAACAAAAGTGAGAAGTCAAGATAAATCCCGAGATGTTTGTAGCTGCTGACCCAAGATGTTTGAAATTGCTGACAAACTGAATCTTTGAACTGTCCAAGGAGAGGATTTCTGAGGGCAGTCTTTAAATATAACTGTATCATTTTGGCATATCAAAGAGATAAGCTTGTGCAGCTACATGTAAATGTTAAAGGGTCTTATTTAATTCCATGAGTAATTTAAGAAATGTTCCAGTCATGAAGCTGCTTTCAAATATGACCGCAGTGTAATCAATGCTTTTCCTAAATTAAATCATGCACAATATGTAGCGTTATGCAATATGGATAGCCAACCCTTTGGCACACAAATTAAATTTGAAAAGCATTGCACAACCTTCATTTGCTATTTCCACACTTTGGCTTTTCTAATGTTACCCTTGAAGATTTTTTATATTGTGTGTAAGAGGTACAGTTGTTTTTTGAGGAGCTGAAAATCACATCATCTATCACTTCCAAGATCAAGCACAAGAAAGAAGGATAGATAATGCTGTCTCTGCCATCCTCTTGTAAAATTCTAGACATATGGTCTGTGTCTRCATGTCAGCATATCCCCTGGAAAAAAAAGTAGAAAAAAGGAAAACTGTCTATGTGTCTATATGTCGGCATTGTCTTCTTATCACCTTCAGAATGGTGCCTTCATTATCACATCTATTTGCATTTTCTTCAGATTGTACTTATTTTTTTCATTGAATGTATTTTTTTCTTCATGGTTTTGTTGTAATTTGTTAACTAGAGATACATCATTTTTTATTGCATGCCTTGTTTTCAGAGTTTTGTAAATCCTTTCATTGCCCCTGATACATTATTCCATTCAATAATAATACTATTTATGAGAATTAGCTAACTTTAGAAATAGTCAAGTGATTTTTTTTCTTGTATTTGTTCCTAAACCTAAAGCACAATCTATGTTTTCTTGCAGATGGGTCTCTTTTGGACTCGCACACTACCCCCATGGAATTTCTTGGAGACAATCCAAGTCCAACAAGATTATCTCTATCAGCCTTACCAGACTCAAGCTATACTGCCTTTAAGAACCCAGAATCACCTGTTGACTTGCCATCCATTTCTGAACAAATCCCAGAGGCTGAAACTGCTGACACCATGCATTTCCAGCCAAGTGATGCTCTTGTAAAGGAGCCACATGTTCAGGCAACCTCATTATTAAGCCCCGCTGAACCTGTTCTAGGATCTATTCCACAATTTGAGGAATCAGCTATACACTCTACAGACTGGAACGTGTCCAAAGCAAACTCAAACCGTGAGGCATCATTTTTCTCTCAATCTACTACGAAATCCAAGCAAATAACCGAGAATACATTCATAACATCCCCAAGTCCTGCTTTTACAGGTTCAACACCTCATCAAGGTCTTCAAAATGAGGAAAGAGCAACTTCTATKAAAGGACAGGATGAGAAAGCAGTCAATCTTTCAAAATCTGGCCAAGCTCTGCAACCCCCTATGCTGGCTTTATCTGAGACTTTGACAAATGATTTCCATRGTCAAAGAGTAGATTCTAGCCACGTGAGCTCTAACCCAAATGAGGTTATTATTCACGGTTACCATGTGCCTTTTRTCGCCTCCCACTCTACTTCATATTTACCTGAACCCACTGAGGTGCCTTCAGAGGACTTCTACCCCACTAACACCATGGACGTGGAYTGGGGGTCTGGAGACTACTTGGAAACAATGTCTTTCTTCAATCCAGACAGAGACGAGTATTCTCTGGTCACCAAAGTGCCCTCAGACCCATTTGATCTGGAGGAAGACACAGAAAAGTATGATACATCATTTCCTTCCAGAGTGGTTATATATCCYACATCCCTGCATCCTGAAAACATCTCACCATCTCCAAGCCTCATGACAGCATTCAACACCATCGTTTCATCTAAATCCAATAATCCCTCCTCTGTCTCTACAACAGCTCACTTTATAACAAATCCTACTCCCACACCTAATACTGATATATCTGACCTATCAGATGTAGATTGGGGAGATACTTTTACAATTCAACCAACAGATGTCCTATTACCTGATATGAACAGCTTAGAGTATTACACCACTCAGTTGACCAAGGAAAGCAATGTTTCTGAAGCTGTAGCTGAACACAGSGAGAATATCACTGAAATGTTCATCAACACTACAACTACCATGCCCACCACAGGGTCCAACAATAATCTGACTGATGATGAGTCCTTTGAGTTTTCAGGGTTTGTACCTCATGATGAATCAACTACAGTATCACCCATAGTGGACGGTCTTCAGCTTATCAATGCATCCGAGACTTTTCTTGATCCTTCTTTAGCCTCAACCCACTACCTTGAATCGTCCTCTTTAGCTTGGACTGGCCAAGTGTCCACAAGAACTACATCAGCAGAGGCTTTGGAGCCTAGTACAACACCTTTGCTGCCAGAGGACTTGATATCTTCTGACTCTCTTACCGATGTCCATTGGTTTGTTACAGACTCTTTTGAAGAAAGCACTGTGAATGTTACTACTGTCCTAACTGCAACTATAGCCTACTCTGCAGTTCCCACTGAAACTGCCACCAACAAAACTGCTGTTACAACTGAAATAACATTTCAAGATTCATTTGTAACTGAGCAACCTTTCAATATTACTTCAGTTTCAAATGAGTCGACATCTTACAATGTCACCCTAGTCCCCTCAGTTATGTTAGGCGATCAGGGCATRACTGAAGATGGAGTTGACGTCTCAGCCACAATGACCTTGATCCCAACAAGCAGTGAAGTTAATACAGTCTCTGCTGGAACCACAAGTCAAGCTGGCACAACTACTCTTCATCAGGCTACAACTGGAGCTACTTCTGCTGCTGAAACCTCAACTAACATCAACATCATTTCTACTACCAGTGAACAGACAACAACAAGGATGTACCTCTGCCAAGTGGACAGGCCTGTTTATTTAACAMAGATTGGTAAATCTGAAATCTCATTTGGCTAAATGTGCAGAACTTACAGTTTATATTCAAAATRCATGCAGTATATGAGAAATTACAAACTTCTGGTTTCTGTTCAAGGTTTTCCCTCGGGGGTCCCTSTTGGATATGCCAAATCACAAGTTCGAGACATACTAAAAGCAGAATTCAACAAGACAGTGGAGCTGCAGGTAATGGTTTTTATTATTTCTGTGCTGAATAATGTTTTTCTTAGGAGCAAGAAAAGGAAATTACCGTTTAGTTCACCAAGATCATTTAGGCTGTCATTCAAAGAACAATCAGTAAATCAGAACAATACGGTCTATTTTACAAGCTATCTTGATAAACCTGTGAAATGCAGTCTTTCTGTTAAACTAATTATTTAAAATGTTTCCACACATGAGAACCAGAGACTGTTTTAGCATAAAGTAACAGTGATGATAATACTCTGAGTGATTTGTTTTATAATTTGTGTGTGTGTGTGTGTGTAGGTTGTGAGTCCCCCACCAAAATTTGTCTTCCGCATTGTGTCGGGTCCAGTTGTGTACACAGCTATATCTGTCGTCAACGCTCTGCAACAATCTAACCGACGTTTMCTGTATGTGGCTCCTAATTGGATAACACCAGAGCGCAAATATCAAATCCACACAGGTAAATTGCCTCTGTTAAGCATTTTGTGGTGACTGCAAAAGCAATAAGCTGTAAACATTTTAACTGCTGTGAACTCCAACAGATTTTAAACTCTTATTTTTGTAGTGCTGCAGTTTGTTCCTGGCCATTTAGATGTGCGTTACTGCAACTTTAGCGAGAGCATTGAGAAAGGTTTGACTAAAGCCTTTGCAGAAGTGTGCCGGCGCTCAAGGGAGTCAACCAACTTCACAGTTCATGTGAGTGAGACATTTATATTTTTGAATTTAAGTCAATATGTTTGACTTTGTACCTACAACTTAAGAACCTGGTAACTGTAGTATAGAGCAGGGGTTCTTAACCTTTTTGACCTCGGGGCCCAATTTGTTCAACATAAAGTGACACGAGGCCCAGTCACACATTACCATACGGATCAAAATGATAATTATTCTAAATCTTGGTTTAATTTGTCTTGTATTTGYATTATAACTAAATAAAATACATTTTAAAAGTAAAACTCCTGTCAAATAATCACAAGAAATGATTATGACAAACATGTTTTTATATTGTAACCTGCCCATAACAATTATTTGAACAAATACAACAGTCAGTCAACAGACTACTCGGGCTTATCAACACAAAAATAACCCATCCATCCATTTTCTGTACACGCTTCTCCCTTTCAGGGTCGCGTGGGTCACTGGTGCCCATGTCCAGCAGTCACAGCGTGAGGGGCGGGGTACACCCTGGACAGGTTGCAAGTCCATCACAGGGTCGCAAGTCCATCGCAGACAAAAATAACATTTTTTTTTAACATAAACAACAACAAAAATAGACAATTCAATAAATAAAATTGCGATCATAAAATA